ACAAAAAAAAAAAATACTAGTAGTGGGCTGGGAATGTGGCTTAGTGGTAGAGTGCTTGCCTAGCATGCATGAAGTCCTGGTTTGATTCCTCAGTACCACATAAACTTAAAAAAAGCCAGAAGTGGTGCTTTGGTTCCAGTGGTAAAGTGCTGGCCTTGAGCAAAAGAAGCTTAGGAACAGCGCCCTGAGTTCAAGGCCAAGGACTGACAAAAAAAAAAAAGAAAGAATACTAGTAGCAGAGAGGCAAGAGAGCAAGAGACAGATACAAAAAGAGACAGAAAGCAAGACAGACAGAAAAAAAAAAAAAAGAAAGAGACAGACAGATGGACAAAGAAAACAAAAATTTCCAGTTCTGGGGCTTGAACTCAGGGGCTGGGGGCTGCTCCTGAGGTTTGTTTGCTCAAGGCTAGCGCTCCACCACTTTGAGCTACAGTGCCACTTCTTGTTTTCTGGTGGTTAATTGGAAATAAGAGTCTTAAGGAGTTTTCTGCTCTGCCTGGCTTCAAACTGTGATCAAATCTCAGCCTCCTGAGTAGTTTGGATTATAGGCATGAGCCAGTGCTCAGTTTAGGAATGCTATTCTTTCTTTCTTTCTTTCTTTTTTTTTTGCCAGTCCTAGGGCTTGAACTCGGGGCCTGGGTACTGTCCCTGAGCTTCTTTTGCATAAGGCAAAAGCCACAGAACCACTTTGGGCTTTTTCTGTGTCTGTGGTGCTGAGGAATTGAATCCAGGGCTTCATGCATGCTAGGAGAGCACTCTAACCACTAAGCCACCTTCCCAGCCCAGGAATGCTATACTTAATACCATTAGACCCTCTGAATTATGCTGGGTTTGGCCCTCAGCTAAAATTTCCTCCCCCCCCCCCCAGTACTGGTGTTTGAACTCAGGGCCTTGTACATAAGGGCACTCTACTCTTTTTGCTCAAGATTAGCCTCTACCACTTGAGCCACAGCTTTACTTCTGACTTTTTGGTGGCAAATTGAAAAGCCTCATGAACCTTCCTGCTGGCCCTGGCTCTGAGCCATGCTTCTCAGCTCCCAGCCTCTGAGTAGCGAGGATTGCACGTGTGAGCCACAGGCCTCCAGTTCTTGAACTTCTTTTTTTGGTCAGTCGTGGGGCCTGAACTCTGGGCCTGGGCGCTGGTCTCAGCTCTTCAGCTCAAGGCCAGCGCTCTACCACTTACGATGGTGCGATGGTGCGTTTTCTTGTTTTCTGGTGATTAACTGGAGAGGAGAGTCTCACAGACTTTCCTGCCTGGGCTGGCTTTGAACTGCGACCCTCAGATCTCAAACTCCTGATTACCTAGGACTACAGGAGTGAGCCACCAGCACCTGGCTTATTTTTTTTTTTTTTGTCAGTTATAGGGCTTCCTTTGTTTAAGACTAGCACTTTACTACTGAGTCACAGCACCACTTCAGTTTTTCAGATGATTCACTCACTGGGCTAGGAATGTGTCTTCGTGGTAGAGTGCATGCCTTGCATGCATGAAGCCCTGGGTTCAATTCCTCAGCACCACATAAACAGAAAAAGCCTGAAGTGGTAGAGTGCTAGCCTTGAGCAAAAGAAGCTCAGGGACAGCGCCCAGGCACTGAGTTCAAGCCCCACGACTGGCAAAAAAAATAGTCTCACAGATATCTTCTGCCCAGCTACAATCGCTGCTGCGAGCTACCAGTGCTCAGCCTGAGTTTGTCTATTCTCATACACTCAGACTAAGGAAAGCCTTTTTTTTTTTTTTGGTCAGTCGTGGGGCCTGAATGCTGGGCGTGAGTGGTCTCTCAACTCTTCAGCTCAAGGCTCGTACCCTACCACTTCAGGCTTTTTCTGCTTATGTGGTGCTGAGGAATTGAACCCTGGGCCTCATGCATGGGAGGCGAGCATTCTACCACTGAGCCACCTTCCCGGCCCCTAAGGAAAGTCTTTTCCTGAGTCATGCGAGTCCATTTACCACCTTAGCGAACATGACAGGAAGGGACTCTATGGGAACTTGCCAAGGGTGCTAAGTTGGGCAAAAACATGAGCACCCTGCGTGCCTAATTCTTTGGCATCTGATGGCAGCACTGAACGTGTGGAATGGGACACGAACTCCCAAGTTGTGTCTGAATGCGTTGGAATTGCTGGGCCCTTGGCGGAGGGCAGAGGTGGAGGACGGCTTGTGGCCTGGTAAGAATGGGGTCCTCTGCAGCCAC